CCCCAAAACCCCAAAACCCCAAAACCCCAAGATTTATATGATATTGACAACATTAAAATCTTAGGATTCAATGCTCACAAGCCCATTATCTCTCAGAATTTCCTGAGCTTCATCTTCCTCAACTCCGATCCACTCAATGTTAATTTTCTCGATGCTCATTTTTAAATCAGGAGAAGAGGCTAACGATTGGACCAAATTCTTGAATTCATCTGGGTTATTCTTCCAATCTGAATAACCATGCTCTCCGGTTCCAACTATGGATATCGACTTTATCTTTGTATTTTTTAATGCTTTAGAAAAATTTACATAGGCAGGAACTGAAATTTTGCAATAATGGAGTTTTATTGCGTTAACATGTCTATAAGAAGCCATTAACCTCTTGAATTGACGAGCATTGATGTTAAACCAAGTGATCAACACCTCTCCAAGCACCCTAGCACTCCATCTCAAGATAGAGTTAGATAAACCAATTTTTGGAATAGGCTCATACTCTGAAAAAAGGGTTAGGTTATCTACCTTCCCTAGGAATAATGGAGCAAACTCATTGATAAAATGCATATTTCTTATCTTTATTTGATGGAAACCTAAATAGGAATAATTTAATGACTGGCAGCATTTAATTTCATGAAGGAATTTCGCCTCCTTGCAATTATCAAGGGAAAACTCCAAAATTCAGCATGTGCCTCTCCTTCTGGAACTAGAATATCCCATTTCAGACTCTAATTCTCATCTATAGTTTTTGAAATATAGGTTCTCGATGAATTTACTCTCCATTATGCATGTTTCCTTAAGAATAAACTTCTCCGATCTATAGCAGTACACTTATCATCTCTCGAGTTTGGGAGTCACAGTAGTTTTCAAATTTACCAACAAGATTTATTAAGACTTAGAAGCTACAAAAGACTTGAAATCTTCTAGAATCGAATCTAAGCTTAATAAGAATAAAAATTATGATAAAGGATCTAAGCTAGAACTTAAATTGCTAATCTCCTCCATTAGCACAGTCTCTGTTCTTAAAAACCAGGTATTCCAAAATAATTTCCAAAGACTCAAGCTCTTATTTAAAGTCCTTTCCTAAACTCTACATATTCCCACCAACCAACATCCACTAAGACCCCACCTCAAAACAAGTGGTACACACAACTGACCCTTACCTCTCCAGTGAAACTTCCTTTAACACTTTCTCTTTATCTTCTTGACTCAGCCAACTGGAGCCCTCCATTTATTAAAATATTTATTCTCAATATTTATTCTGGGATGGGGTTTTGGGGTTTTGGGGTTTTGGGGTTTTGGGG